ACACAGTAGTAAAGAAGCGAGCAATCGTAATCCGCCTGTCCAACGAGGTCATTTTCCATCCTCGCTCATGGTATGGTTGGGAGTTTCTTATTGGGGCTTAACAGAATGAGAAAGGTGTAAAAACGAATGCAGTTGTGTATCAAAATACAGTCCTGACGAACCTTGTGGAACCTGTTTCTCATACCATGTTCAATAACAGGCACTGTGTATTCCAACAAGATTTGGCGCCAGCTCATAGAGCGAAGAGCACACAAGACTGGCTGGCGGCGCATGAAATCGACTTCATTCGGCACGAAGACTGGCCCTCCTCCAGTCCAGATTTGAATCCGTTAGATTACAAGATATGGCAACATTTGGAGGAAAAGGCGTGTTCAAAGCCTCATCCCAATTTAGAGTCACTCAAGACATCCTTGATTAAGGCAGCCGCTGATATTGACATGGACCTCGTTCGTGCTGCGATAGACGACTGGCCGCGCAGATTGAAGGCCTGTATTCGAATCACGGAGGTCATTTTGAATAAACTTTAGTGTCATAAGAATCTGTGTTTTGTTAAGTTCATTTTGGTGTATAAATGGTTACATAATGAATAAACTTGTTTCAATTATTTTATATTAAACATGTGACAGAATTTATGACCTGACTAGGTATTATACTATGTTGAGGTAATATTAATACGTATCATATTTTAATCAAGTTCTTCTTTTATATACTATGGGTGACAAACAGGCACACAGTCCACCTGGTGGTAACTGGATGCTGTGGCCTATACACATCTACGTTTATACTCGATTAAAAATCAAAATGCAGATGCGTTGTTGGTCCAGATGACTAAGATGGAATGCCTCGTTTCCAGTAAAAAGGGTCTCCGGTTCTTTGCACTTACCATACGAAACATAGCAGCTTCAAGCTACTATTTAACAATATTCTGGAATACAGTGTTCTCCGATCGACCCAAACCATTCCTGCTACACCCTTAATATTACTGCAGCATGGCACCACGTATAATTTTTTATTTTCTACTAGCGCCTAAAAATCAAAATACAAATGTTTTGTCGCCTGAAATCGTATCTAACACATACTGAACATATAAATAATATAAACAACACATTGTCTGAAAGATAAATGATTGTTGAATTCATTTTTCTTTTAAATGTATCAATTGCAATTTTTACATAAAAGAAGCGGTTTTAGTGGCATAACTTTTAGATTTATCAAGTCGCATGATGGCGTAAACATGATAAGTTTTGAATATATTAATAGTTCAACGCAATCTATTTTTAAACTCCTCATCTATCATGTGAGAAGCCATGGAATGTAAATGGCAGTTTAATTTTGTTTTGTTTAGTTATAATTAATTTTTTTGGCTGAGAATAGTGAAGTTTTTGGTGTTTTGAGCATCCTTGTATTAATATATTTTACTAAATACACTTTGCCTCACTCCCGGCCACAGGGTACTTTTTTACTCCGGGCTCAGCCACCATCGTGAATGGTCGTTTGTTTACAGCGGTGCGTGCTGAATAATATAGATCGCTTAGGAATATAAAATATTCCAAAAACCAAATTTGATACATACTTGAGCAAGGCATATCTACTCATGTGGCCAAGGTAAGATATTATTATTTTTATAATCACAGATTTTTATACCAATATTTTGTCTCGCTAAAAGTACGTACGGTGTACTTCGTATATCTGCTACTGGAACTCCACGACGAGCAGAACTAGGTGTGCCGAGATTGTGCTCGTTATGTCAGTTATGATGTAACCTTACCCCGACTCGAAGGTGAACTTTGGTGAATGCTACTGGAACTCTTCGAAGAGTAGTAATAGTAATAGGTGTGCTGAGTTTGGGTTCGTTTTGTTAGTTATGGTGCGTCCTTACCTCCGAACAGTGGCGGAATATCCTTAAGGCTAACTAGTCACGTGCCTAGGGGCGCAAGGTTAAAAAGGGGCGCGAGAAGTTTTCAAACGAAAAAAAATCGTCGTATTTAATTACTTCTAGATCGCTCTTACTCTCTTATCACATTTTGCATTTATGCCCCCCTGTTAATGGTATTCGTATTCTAATTATTTTGCCAGTATTAAAATATATTATAAATTATAATATAGTTTATTTGCATAATGAGCATATTTAATTTATATGAGTATATTTATATAATATGGCCTCTAGAGGGGCGTCGATGAGGTGCTAGGCTAGCATAGGGCGCAGTCGACATTAAATCCGCTTCTGCCTCCGGACTTGATAGAGTGACCTGAAAGTGTACTTTGATGAATGCTACTGGAACTCCTCGAGTAAAACTAGGTGTGTCGAGTTTGGTCTCGTTTTGTTAGTTATGATGAAACCTTACCTTTGGACTTGAAAGAGTGATCTAAAGGTGTACTTCGATGACTGCTACTGGAACTCATCGACGAGTAAAGGTGTGCCGATTTTGGGCTCGTTTTGTTAATTATGATGAGACCTTACCTTAGGACTTAATAGAGTGACTTGAAGGTGAACTTTGATGACTGCTACTGGCACTCCTCGACGAGGAGAACTAGATGTGCCGTGTTTGGGCTCGTTTTGTTAGTTATGAATAGACCTTACCTTCGGGCTTGATGGAGTGACTTGAAAGTGTACTTCGCTGACTGCTACACGAACTTTTTAACGAATAGAACTACAATTTACATTTTTTAAATTTTTTCACTATCCTGTAAGCATTATGAGTCGTGCTATTTTGGATTTTCCAAATTTTTTTAAATTGAAGTTTGACATGAAATTATTGAAAATTGGAAGTATATGAATAAGGTTATTAATAAAAACTTGTGTGTATATAAACGACTTTAAAAAATTAGATATAATCATGTTATACGTAATTTTTAATGCGCTTAAGGTTTACCAACAAACCATTGGATTTACCAATAGTTTTTATTTTTACGCTTTTTAGTAACTTTCTCTCTTTAACACCTTTCCAGTTTAAAATTTCGAATCAATTTTTATAGCACTTACTGACGTCCGATTGAGATAAAATTGAGCATACTTATCTAATTCGATGATTGCACGTGATTATGTGCACAAATGCTTGTTTGTAAATAGATTCAACATTAAATTTATCTTATTTGAACTATTATTTCTTAACAACCCTGTGATAAGATATTCTAAGATTGAAAGTTGAAGGCGTAGGAAAATTTGTATTGTTTAACTTCAAAGTAAAGTTTACTTTTCTTTGGAGTTAAACAATAAGATTTCTTACTCTTTATGGAATTTAATTAATGCCATTTCATTTTCGTTCTGTGGCTTTCATTATTGACCATTAACCATTATGAGATAAACTCTTCAGCCAAATCCCTACCCTTAACTTATCCCGAACAAAAATTCTCTCGTACATAACGGCCACTGCCAAAATGAAATTTTCCAGCGATCATGGCCGGGTTGCGGTGCTTAACTCTAAGGGTTCTACAAACCCTGACCATTATTTGTAATGGAATTCCAATTACTATTTAAGTAAGATAAACGTTAAACGTGCGGATCGGACCGCATTTTAAAATCGACTTAGGTAACACACCGTACACACGGAAGCTTAAACTTGTTACTGAACTATATATTTTATTCACAAAGCTCTACCCTCCAATTCCAAGGTCCCAGAAACTTAAACGTAATTTTCAAACAAGCTTGAAGTCCTTAATATTTAAGAGACACTTGATTCCAACTTTCTATGAAACTATAATTAACCATTGAAAGTTCACAAATTTAACTGTGCCTTCAATTGCTTACAAATTTATATAATCGTTGTTTGTGAAACCGTGAGTGAAGTGAGCTAGAACGCGACGTAAAACAATCCTAACTACATTTTGTCCGTGGGTGCTATAAGAGGTGTTAGAGTATTTTTTTTTATAGGATAAGGGTGACAAACGAGCACACAATCCACCAGATGGTAAGTGGTTGCTGCGGCCCATATACATCTACATCTATTCTCGATTACGAATCAAAATGCAGATGCGTTGTCACTCGTGAGGACGAAGATGTAATGCCTCTTTTCCAGTAAAAAGGGTCTCCGGTTCTCTACGGCTTGATGATATGGATCTCACCATTATAATCATTGAGGAGCTTATGATAATGATGATGGTGATGAGAAGTAAATTAACAAACATTTTTAAGCGACAGTTGGTTTATTAATAGTATTATTTTAATTTAAGCAAAACTTACCCAATAATTTGAAGCGGTATAAAATAATTATGTGAGCTATTACGATAAAGTTATGATATTTTATATAGTATTATCTTTACATTAATATCGTAGAGATTTGTTTTGTCTTTGAAATTGTATTTAAGTATAATATTTTGAAAGAAAAGATACAGATTTTCGGTTACATTTATGCTCATCCTGCAAAATAAATAAAAATTAAAATACTGGCAAAAACCGTGTTATTCGCTATTTTCCAATAAGCGTTCCTTAAATTATTTGCATTTGTCTCACTTGCCAAACCACACGATCGCGCAAAATTATTACAGTATTCAACCATAGGCACATAGTAGAAGACCCACTCCTGCCGTCATTAATTTTAATTAATTGCCTCTACTTACAGTTCGTATATATAAACTCCCAAAGTATTCAGTCAAGAATCACTGGATCAATATTTAAAGATAATATATTAATTGAGCATAATATTGTAACCTACAATTGTAGGCATCTTTTCATATAATGAGAAATAAAGAGAGCTGTTTACTTTGTATATTTTTTTAAATGTTTTTAATCTATAAAAACGTGAGGTGGGCATACTGCCCAGCTCGCTTTTCAAATCGTATAAAGCGTCGTTGACTATAAATGTATTGTTAAAAGTATTAAACTTTACATGCAAAATAAATATCATAAAACATTTTTCTGAAATGCCGAAAACAAACAAATGAATATGAATGTTTCAATGGAGCTCATGGGACACATTGCAAAAAATTCCACTTCAAAATTAATGGACAGCGACGCTTCTTCGAACACAAGCATTTTTTTAATGGTTGTTTATTTGTTGCAGCGTCGCGTATTCGATACGAGATCACGAGCGGGAACATAGGAGGGGCATTCGCCGTCAAAAACATGACTGGCGCCATCTACGTTGCGGGGGCGCTCGACTATGAAACTAGGAAACGGGTAAGTTATTGCTGAGAGTTCCTACACTTGTTCGTTTCGAAAAATAATATAGCATTCACATTTTTATGTTCAGCGGAATTGAAATCAAACTTGTTAGAAAGGAAATTTCAGGATATAACATTCTTAGATTAAAAACCAATCGTTTTTCATTTTGATAAATACGTAATTGATTTTTTTAACTTTTGAATTTTCAATAGAGAACCCGTAGTCATAAAATATACTAATAAATACAATTGCGACAATATGTAAATATATAATTCATAGAAAAATAATAAAACCAACAAAGTTATTTTAAATAATGTATTCATCGTTTTAACTTTGCGTATTAAAATATCATATTTAACAGCTTGAAAAGTTCATTTTGATACAGGAAAGGAAAAGCAACATCGAGGTAACTTTTGATTTGTATTGTTTTTATCATCACAAACTAAACTAGCTTTAAATACATGGCAGTCGAAATAGTCCACTAACACATTATATGTCAGCTTACTATAACAGGTATATTACCTCTGATTTGATCGTAACATTATGGCAGAACGGAACAAGAGTTGAGGGCGACCATTTACAAATGACTGGCGCCATAGTGTGGACCGCAGACTGGCACTAAGACAAAGCGATGCCATATATTTACTTGTCACATCCGCTACGCAACATTGAAAATATAAAACTTTGCTGCTGTTCTTAGTTCTTGGGTTCTTCGTCAATATAGAAGAATATTTTATAGAAACGTTGATGTAGAATATATTGAAGTTTACCGAAAAACGGATAATCGCTGAATTTTACAAACAAATTTCTGTAATGAGGGACCTTCGTTTATATTTATCTTGTGTAGTATTTATTTGAATTGCAACAATGTCTGTCTCAACATATTAAAGCAGAATTAATCGCTCTTTTAAACGTAATTTTACTTTAAATATAAACGACCTGAAACTGGGGGACGAAGTGTTTCAATTTCTTCCCTGCTAGTAAGTTTCGCTCTTAAAGCAAGCGTTGCGTCGTTGTTACTTTTATGAGACTCTTCTTTGTTATCCTCGAGAAAGTTTCATCAAACTTTAGATTAATTATTTAATCTTTAATATCTATTTAAACACCCAAGCGTAATCGAAACGCCGGGTTTAACTGTGGATTCGCGTGAAGCTCTAATGGAATAACCTCGTTTGAATCTCGGGATACTTTTGTTTCTTTGCACTTTACGATTTATAGTTCCATGACTAATGAATTTTTTACGTTATCAGGTATTGTTGTAGCTCGTTATATAGTATATTATATTATTTCTTACAAGTGTACTTACTTGTACTAAACTGAAAACTGAAGTGGTAATGAAAACACGATAATCCCGTTGTCTTTAGCCATGTTTTAAGTATCTATGTAAAAGTAAGAAATTAATACCAAACACTTCAGTGGCGCCTTGAACGCTTTTTCCTCGTTCATGACATTTTTTGTATTATACAAGTATTGCCTTGAAGTTACAGTCCTTAGTCTGCATACATAAAATTTACATACATTATTTACTTACAAATTATTTGAACAGACACTGCCCAACTTGTCACAAACCCAGCCTAGATTTTTGATACCAAAATGAAGTTATAAAAACTGTTTATTATGAACGAAATTTTTCTAGAAATAATTAAATACGACTTATGAAAAATTTATATTTATGTGTTCATAACCGGTTTATGACTTGAATTGATTATAACTTTTGATAAGGCCTGACAAGAGAAATAGTCAAAACTTAATGTTTAAACTTTTGCTGCATAATTTAATTTAACCGACGGGATCTGCGTCGTTCTAATGCGATTGCGATACAGGTGGCAATAGAGCGAAACAAGGAATCGAAAGTCTTTGCAAAGGAGCTTAGTAGAAGCCACATTGCAAGACTGCAGTTGCATGATGGCAGTACTCACGTCAAAGCCTGAGGTTCTGTCTGAGATTGAAGACTATTATGGCAAATTATATGCCTCACATAAGCCACAACCTGACCCTAAATGCGATGATCCCGGAGCCACGCTGACCCGCCACTATACCGACGAGCTGCCAGAAATTTGTTTTGAGGAGATTGAGCTGGCCCTTGGCCAAAAAATGGAAAAGCCTCCGGAGAAGATGGAGTTACAACAGAGCTCTTAAAGGCTGAGAGTCAACCCTTGCTAAAAGACGCAGTTAAAAACTGCCGAGTATTTAACTGCATCTTACGAGATGGGAGGACTCCAAAGGCGTGGAGCAAAAGCATTACAGTTTTGTTTCACAAGAAAGGTGACAAGACTATGCTGAAACATTATCGACCCATCTCGCTTCTGAGCCACGTCTATAAGTTGTTTTGAGGGTCATCACAAATCGACTCGCGCGAAGACTCGACGACTTTTAGCCTGCGGTACAGGCTGGGTTGCGAGGAGGATTTGGCATTATAGACCAAATTCACACAGTGCGGCAAATAATACAGAAGACAGCAGAGTATAATCAGCCCCGGTGTCTTGCATTTGTGGACTATGAGAAAGCCTTTGACTCGAAACTTGGGCTGTTCTAGATTCTTTGTAGCGGTGCCAAATTGACTGGCGGTACACCGAAGTAATGAGATGTCTTTACGACACCAGTACAATGTCCGTTCAAGTACAGGGCAGTCAAACAAAACCAATTCAGTGTATCGCGGAGTGAGATAGGGGGATGTTATATCCCCTAAACTATTTACAAATGCACTGGAGGATGTTTTTAAGACGCTAGACTGGAAAGGACGCGGAGTTAACGTAAACGGTGAGTAAATCTCACACTTACGTTTTGCTGATGATATCGTCGTCCTGAAAAATATCGCTGCAAGAACTTCAGGACATGCTGAAAAGACTGAATGAATCCTCTCGACGTGTGGGTTTGTTGTATAAATCTGAACAAGGCAAAAGTAATGTTCAACGATCACGTCATGCCAGTTTCAATTACTGTTCATTATGAAATTCTCAAAGTTGTCCAGGAATATACCTACCACGGGCAGATATTGCAACTAGGTAAGAATAACTTCGAGAAGAAAGCCTATAGGAAGGTTTAGTTAGGCTGGGCATCATTTAGAAAGCTCCGTCGGATTTTCACACACATACCGCAAAGTCTGAAGACTAAAGTCTTACACCAGTGCATCCTGCCCGTACTCACTTACGGTGCCGAAACATGGACACTGACGATACGGTTACTCCACAAGATCAAAGTCGCTCAGTGAGCGATGGAAAGACCTATGCTTGGAGTTTCTCTGGTAGATAAAATTCGAAATGAAGAAATCCGCCGGAGGACCAACATTACTGACATACCATGACCTTCCATGTTTGTAAACTGAAGTGGCAATGGGCTGGCCACGTCTGTTGCAGAGGTGACAACCGGTGGAGTAGACGTGTTATGGAGTGGAGACCGTGTCTAGGCAAACGTAGTGTGGGACGTCCCCTGATCAAATGGAGCGACGATCTGTGCAATGTGACTGGTAGAAACTAAATGCGTGTAGCCGAATATCGGGCTAAGTGGCGCGCCTTGGGATAGGCCTATGTCCAGCAGTGGACTGCCGCAGGCTGATGACGAATTTAAAATAAGCGGGTGCACACCTTGCTCGCCTAACAAATCGCTATCGGCGATCGCGCAATTTTTAAGCCAAAATCATAATATGATATTTATTAGCAAGTGGAAACTAGCAAACTACCTTACTTTATTTGTAATTATACGGTATGAAAGCATACTACTAACCTACCTTAAAATTAATAAAAGAAATTTATTATAAATTAAAACAAAAATATTGATAAAGATAAATATTAGGTGCATTAGTTGCAGAAAACGTAAAAGCCTTTTTATTTCTCCCAAGCATCGTGCCAGCTACCTGTCAGTACTCGAAATAAACGTAACATTTCATTAACTGACGTAACAATTCTACCTTGCTAACAGCCTATTGCTTTCTAAAGTCCAGTTAATAGCGCATCTTGATGTAACAGCAGTCTGACTCATGAGTCAGACTGCTGTTATCCAGTCGACGCAGTCTCATTTGAAGTTCAGTGACTAAAGAGGTCATGTAAAACTAGAAATTGCAAATGAAAACTCTGTTCCGAAACTCCTATAACACGTAGGTTGACTTTTGAAACAAACATTTCCCACTCGAACAAGGAAATTACTAAGCGACACTGACGGATGACACCAATAACTCGTTTCGGTCAACCTTGCTTTTACTCTATCTATTTCACAGTTCTTAAATGTGTTCTAATTGTTCATTTATAAACGAAACTAATTTACCTACTATAAAATGTTATGTTAGAAATAAATATTAAGGTGACTCAATATTTATATAACTAATTATTAACTCTTTTTCTAGTTACCTAGGTATTTGTTATGACGTTATCAAACTTTTCAGTAGAAGACAACTTTTGGAAACTCGAGAAAACTAATTTATAGTCGATTCTACTTTAATTCAATATTTTTGTCATTGGTAAAATAAAAAACGTCAAATTTCACCATGATTTTTTTTGGATGTTTTTAACTAACGATAATTTTTCCTAGTTCTGCTAAACTAAATTTTACGTTAAGTCACAAAAATTGTATTTTTTTTCCTATTTCTTAAAACGTGTTTGGGATACAACAGTACGAGCTGAAATTGGCTGCGTCGGACAATCTGAAAGAGAATTACACAACGGTGGTGATTCACGTGAAGGATGTAAACGACAACCCCCCAGTTTTCGAGAGACCCACCTACCGCACGCAGATTACCGAAGAAGTGGATCGTAATCTTCCGAAGCGTGTGTTACAGGTCCGCTCATTTAAAAAAAAATACCCATTCGATTCTTTATACCGTATACCGTTCTATCCCGTTTACCTTTCTATGCTGTAAAAGAATCGCATGAGTGTTTATTTGGGTTGACGTTTTTCGTTATTTTCTTTTCGTCGTGTCTGCATGGCATGAGTTGCTCTTATTTGTGGAAATGTAGTTTTTATAATAGTCCCGTTTTGTTGCTAGCATCGATCATTTTTAGCTTTGGTTTTTTTTTGTTTTTTTTTTACGTACAGTTCTTTTGTCGTTGTAAATCATTACTATTTTAAATTATTTTCAAAGTTGTATTTATTTACTTTTATACTTGTATTTTTGACCGATTTTACAGATTCTTGTCGAAGAAATAATACTAAAATTAGTAATGTAAAACGAATAGCGTTTTCATATATAGAGATATTGCTACCATTTTAGATTTTCACTTTTAACATTATAGGTATTTTATGATGATGAATTTCAAAACCTCTTACTGCACACTTATTCAAAGCGCAGTTTTAAGTGGAATCTACAGAAATTCATTGAATCGCGTAATGCTCCACCCGTTACGACAAAGCTCTTTAAACAATCGCCCAGTGATTTCAACATTTATTTACTCCCAGGCCCAGATCGCGGTATTTTAAAAACTTTTGTATAAAATCCGACTTTATTTCTTTTTTTTTCATTACAATAATGAAAAGAATTTTGAAAGCCCGTCTTTTTACATGTATTTGCAATTTGCTTTATTTTTTATTTTCTACGAAGCACTTAAAATTTTCCATCTCAATTTTTACAACTAAGGAGACCTAAGATACCTTAACATGTAATCGAATAATACAGAGACAAATATTAGCGTTAGTGTTTATGTATAAACAACTAGACCTCTGGGTCAATCGTTACATTAATCATAACAAGGATATTGTTTTTGGAAAGTAGCCGACTCTTATATGGTAAAAATAAATCAATGATTATTATTTTGTAGGAATATACGCTCTAATGTTAAAACTATCGCTAATAAATAGCAAAAGATACGTAGATCGAATGAACATAATATGCTCGAGTGGTCATGGTTACATACATAACCAAGTTTTGTAAGTGCTATGGCCCCCCTGAATATATATTATAATTATAGATGAAATGCTTTGTTATCGGTTAGAAAATAATTCTTTACTCTATATATATTCCTTGTTGGTTCTCTTAAGTTAGGGAAGTCTGCCTTAATCACATATTTGATCCTAGAAGGATCTAGGATCAAATGTAGGAACATAACTAGAAAATTTCCGTTAATCGTCTGAAAATTTTAGAAATGATCATTTCACCTCATGTGTCAAAGCACATATCTGGTTTTTTTTTCAATATTACGACACACACGAAATTGATTTATGAAATGCGCCTTATCCACGGAATCGACACAATTTGATCCTCTATTGTTTATTATTCTGAAATGATTTTGCTAAATGTCAGTTTTATTGTAACTTATTGTTTTGTTTTTAAAGAACGTAGAAACTATATTATAGCAAATAACTCAAGACACAAAACTTTTATATTCAACCAAGTGTCTCAATTAAGATTCTGTAAAACGTTATATAATATCAAATAACCTTTATTTTTGAAAATCAACAAAAGAACCTTGTAATATTAAGAAATTTAAATATCAAGGCTTGAGGCAGTTATAGTGTAGTAGTTGTTTAAAGGCAACTATAACCCCAAATGATTTCGTTAGTATAATTTGTGTCGACTGAGAAAAAATTTCGATAATATCTTCCACCTCCCATCTCCAAAATTACTAACATTCAGATAATAAAGAAACCGGCAATGAGTGCTGGGTGCTTGGACCAAATTTGAGATAATAAGATTACCATTATTATAACTTTTCATGGTGACTGATCTTATTCCAAAAAAGTAAAAATATTATTTTCATAGAAAATGTCGCTACTATATTACCATAATATATTTGTGAAATTTTCATTTTCTTTTTCTAATTTATTAATTTTATTCATATGTTTAAATATTACGTTACTACGGCGGCACTGAAATTTTCGGGAATCAAGGAAGTGACACAACATTACTATTTAAAAATGTATTTATTGCTTTTCAAAGTATTCCCCGCGAAATTTGACACATTTTTCCATACGATGGAACCAATCATTGAAGCAACCATTCCATTCGGAAGTTGGGGTCTCCAAAATGGCCGTTTTGTAGGCGTCCACAGCTTCTGCAGGTGATGAAAATCTCTGTCCACGCAATTTATTCTTTATTTTAGGGAAAGTATAGAAATCATTAGGGCTTAGGTCGGGGCTGTACGGCGGATGGTCTAATAATTCTATGTTTTCTTGCTCTAAAACTCTTTTATTCTGTGTGCGGTGTGAGAACTCGCATTGTCGTGATGGAGGATGATGCGGCAGTTGCAGTTCTCTTTACGGAGTTCAGAAATGACCTGTGGCAAACAAATGCTAGCATACCATTCTGTATTAACCATTCTTTGTCCCTCAAGAGGAATAGTGGTAACATGGCCGGTTTTGGAGACAAACGTGGCCACCATTTTTTTGCAACACTCCGTGAACGAACAATTTTTGTTGGCTTTAACTTATTTTCGAACACCCAAACTCGTGACTGGTTTTTTGTTTCGGGTTCGTACGCATATATCCAGTATTCGTCACCTGATACGATGTTGTATACAGCATTTGAGGATCCTGCGTGGAATCTTTCGAGAGTTCTGACGCACCAAGTAACGCGAGCCGCTTTTTGCTCTTCACAGAGTGAATGCGGTATCCATCGGGAAAACAACTTTTTTACACCTAATTGTTCATGCAAGATTATTTGTATTTGACTCATGCCAATGTCTAAAGTTGCCTGAATTTCGCGGTATGTTACATGTCGATCTTCCTCAATCAGCTTACGCACAGCATCAACGTTTTCTTGGGTGACTGCAGTTTTTGGACGACCTTGACGGGGATCATCACTGAGCTTGACAAGTCCACGTTGAAATTGAGCAAACCAGCGATAAATTGTGGTTTTGGATGGGGCTTCATCACCAATTGCAGAAATCATCCGGTCAACACACTGGTTTTGTGTTAGACCACTTCGAAAGTCATAATAAATCATCGCTCTTGAATTTTCTCGAGTCAATTCCATTTTCTCAACGACTAAACAAGTTTGACAAAACCTTGTGACAAGACCGAGAATCTTTTTATAAATAAATAAATGGTATTCGATTTTTAAAACCAAGGAGTTTTCAATTAAAAAGATTTTAATATGACAGGAACAGTGGAAATATTCCATTCCCGATACTTTTAGTGCAGCCTATGTATTTTAGAATTTGTTTTAAAACGTTCATAACTAATCCATGTTAAAATGGTCGAGTCGTGGAGGTTACTATGTTTATAGTTATACGTAGGATATTAAGTTTATCTATGTAAGAGGAAAAATTATAGGCTCTAAAGTTAGGTGGAAAGATATATTAACTCTTTTTGAACAAATTTTGTCGAAAATAGTTTTTGTTAACTAAAACCGTTTATCAATAGTTAGTTATCCTATGTCAGTGGTTAGTAGGAGTACACATTGACAAACTAACGTTTGAAGAATAGAATACTTACTACTACCTACCACAGTAGGATATTGCATGGGCATGGTGTGTTAATGCGTGGGTGTGCGCAGTACGAGCTGACGCTGGTAGCATCCGACGGCCGCAACGAGAACTCCACGTGTGTTGTGGTGCGAGTGCTTGATATCAACGACATGCCGCCTCAATTTACGCGAAGCGCGTATTTTACCCAAGCTCTGGAAGAGACCGGACCTTTTCCACGTCCGCTCTTACAGGTTTTTTTTTGGTTTTATTTAAGTTACAATTATTTTCTTTTTCTTTCATTTCTTAACTAACTTTTCACAATTATTTTCGTTACATTAATATTTGTTATTTATTTTAAAATATTTTAGTTTACTCTTTTTATTTAAATAATTAAAACCTGGCCTTTGGACGAAAACACCGACACTGTGCCGCGGGGAGTGCGACTGTATGATAAATTTACGTTTTTAGTTAAGTTTTCTCATGATAATAAGTGTTGTATATTTAAATTTTATGTAAATAAATATTTATGATTGAAAAACAAAAACACCTAAAATTGACTTTTTTATAAATATGTAAGTTGTTTAGGGGTTAAGTAGTAATTGAAAGTAAAAAGTGTTTGCGAGTGATATGAGTATGCATGAACATTTTTTTTAGTGTTTTCGCCACAATCGTAGATTTATTTGGCTAAGTAAAACCAAGTAAAATACGACATTTAATTTTCTTTATTTATGCATGAACTGTGTAGACGCTTGCTTTTCAAACATTTTCAATCATAGTCCGCGTTTAAGATAAGTAGGTGCTTTAATTTCAAAAGCGCTTTTATACTAAATTCTCTAGGCCCATGGAAATTTGGTCTTTGTTTGTGTTTACTTGATTTAATTGGAATTTATGAAAAAATAATAAATCGTCTAAACAAGGTTAAAGTTTATGACATAATTTTATCAGGTATAATTTAAAATCAATATAAATGTGCATTTATTCATTATTTAAATTCAAAGCATCAGGTTCATAAGCGAATATTTTATAACTATATCACGTAATTGCTTAATGACAATAACCCTTATTTTATTTCAAATCGTAATAAAGTTTGGTAGGTGATTTGTATCAGTATTGCTTACGTCGTTCGCCGTGTGGTGGCAGCGTAAGAGAGTCCACAATCGCATATCATCCCGTGAGTGTCCTAACAGGCGACAGAGGGAAACTTATACAGGAGATGGGCAGCAACTTCCTGGCAAGAACTCACTCCGCTACCAAGCATAACAACTATAGAAAATACTATTATCCATAAGGCAATCTATGGGTCAGGCCTACGTTCAGCAGTGGATTTTGTTAGGTTGTAATGATGCTAAGTGATAATGATTGCTTACATTTATTTAAAGTAGGCATTTGAGTATATTAATTATATGATGCTAACATTTTATAGATAATTAAGAAAACGAGCAGTTTCTTCTTATGTTTATAGTAATAATAATTATAATATTAAAATTATTACTGGCATTGCCGTAGACTACTCGCTATGTGTACAAGATATTTCTACATTTACAGTAAGAATCCACCCCAAGTTTCGCAGTCCGTGTGAAGGCTTCGCTTTTATTACACATTGCAGTCATAAACGAAGTAAAATAAATATTAATCTAATTTTCTATAATTATTTTGTGCGTGGGATTTTTTCTTTCTATTTACTTTTATAACACTAAAATAATATGATGAATGCTTCATAAAGACAATTAAATCATCGTGCCCAGTCGCTGGTAATAACAAGCTTTTTTATAATTGGAGCGAGATTTGCAAATGATCCGAGTAATTACGACAACGTCGACCCTCTTCATTTTTCTGACTTCGAACTACCCCGATATAATTAGAAAATTCATATAATTCACAACTTCTGCATTCCAAAGCCTATATTTTTTAATTATATTCTTATTTCTAAAATCCTAACTTCAGCAGAAAGATAACTTCAGCAGTTATCCTTAACATTTATGCGTACAGTTTATCAAATAATATTTATATTTCCTCTTGTTAGATATTTAAAAGAGGAATATTTTCACGATACCTCCGTTAAAGTATACACTATGGTCGTAACGCTTATAGTATGTTTAATATATCTTAATCTTCTTTTTCATCGTCCCAGAAAAGTCCATGAGCTTCTCTCGTAGTATAGTTAGGATTTGCCTTAATCGTCAACAGATTGGTAATCGCATTGCTATACGTCTCGAACCTTTTACCATTGGACGTAACGAGTAACAAAAAATATTATATTATATATTATATCTATAATATGCACTAATAAGCAGAAAGCATTCATATTTTGTAATTTCTTTAGAACAATATGAACCTTTTGTTTAACACCTTATGTTTTATTATTGTTTAAATAAACACATAACAAAGACCAAAATTCTATAATTAAAAAAATTAAAATAAAGGTAAGTTTTGCATTTAAAATAAATTAAGTAATTTAGATTAAACAGTATTTAAAATATCTCTTTAATTTTATACAGGTAACCGCAACCGATGGTGATAAGGACAGACAACAAAACATTGTATATTTTCTCACCGGCCAGGGAATTGATGCAGATAATCCCGCGAATAGCAAGTTTGATATCAATCGTACATCAGGCGAGATTTTTGTTCTTCGGGTAAGTTCCTGAAGTAATATTAATCTTCAACAATAATAGACGTTATGATTTCAAAATTTTATGTATACATGATATATGGACTGCTCGCTAATTGTTAGGTTTGGGTTTTTAGTTTTGTGCTTTGTATTTTCTCATATAATTATTTTAATTTTATTGCAGCCTTTAGATCGTGATCAGCCTAATGGGAGGCCACAGTGGAGGTTTACGGTATTCGCGCAAGATGAAGGTGGCGAAGGTCTTGTGGGATATGCTGACGTCCAAGTGAACCTTAAAGATATTAACGATAATGCACCTATTTTCCCGCAAGGTGTATACTTTGGAAACGTTACAGAAAACGGAACAGCTGGTATGGTTGTAATGACAATGACTGCTTTGGATTATGACGATCCTGCTGAGAGCAACAATGCAAAGTTATGGTACTCAATAGAAAAAAATGTAATCGAGGAAGAAACTGGCTCTCCTATTTTTGAAATTGAACCAGAAACTGGTGTCATAAAAACAGCTGTTTGCTGCTTGGATCGTGAAAGAACCCCAGATTATTCAATACAAATAGTAGCTTCTGACGGAGGAGGGTTAAAAGGAACTGGTACAGCATCCATACGTGTTAAGGATATAAACGATATGCCTCCACAATTTACTAAAGATGAATGGTTCACCGAAGTTGATGAAACGGATGGTACGAACTTACCAGAAATGCCGATTCTTACAGTTACCGTTCATGATGAAGACGAAACCAATAAATTTCAGTATAAAGTTATTGAAAACAGTGGCTATGGTGCAGATAAATTTACAATGGTTAGGAATAACGACGGTACCGGTTCATTGAAAATCGTCCAACCCTTAGATTACGAAGATCAGTTACAAAGTAATGGTTTCCGATTTAGAATACAAGTAAATGACAAAGGAGAAGATAACGATAATGATAAATATCATGTAGCTTATTCTTGGGTTGTAGTTAAACTTAGAGACATAAATGACAATAAACCACAATTCGAGCGGGCTAATATAGAAGTATCAGTTTATGAAAACGCCGAAGTTGGAAAAAGCCTTGAAACCTTTAAAGCAACAGATCCCGACCAAGGTGGAAAAAGTAAGGTTTCTTACGCAATCGATAGATCTTCTGATAGAAAGAGACAATTTTCTATTAATCAAGAAGGTACTGTCAGTATACAAAGAACTTTGGATAGGGAAGATACCCCACGGCATCAAGTAAAAATCCTGGCAATCGATGACGGAATCCCGCCTAGGACTGCCACAGCAACATTAACCGTAATAGTTCAAGATATAAATGATAATGCCCCTACATTTTTGAAAGACTACAGACCAGTATTAACGGAACATATAACACCAAAGAAAGTAGCTGAAATCTTAGCTACTGATGACGATGATAGATCTAAAAGTAACGGACCTCCGTTTCAGTTTCGGCTTGACCCTGGTGCGGATGATATTATCAGAGCTTCATTTAAAGTTGAGCAAGATCAAAAAGGTGCCAATGGAGATGGTATGGCTATTGTTTCGTCTTTGAGATCTTTCGACAGAGAACAACAAAAGGAGTACCTTATTCCTATTATTATCAAAGATCACGGAAATCCTGCAATGACTGGTACTAGCACACTAACTGTAGTAATAGGCGACGTTAATGACAATAAAATGCAACCAGGTTCGAAGGAAATTTTAGTGTATAATTATCAAGGTCAAGCACCAGATACTGAAATTGGCAGAGTATATGTGTATGATCTTGATGATTGGGATTTACCCGACAAAAAATTCTACTGGGAAAGTTCAGAACACCCGAATTTTACATTAAACGAAGAAACAGGTATGATCAAAATGAAACATAAAACTCGAGAAGGCAGGTATAATTTAAAATTCAAAGTATATGACAGGAAACATACTCAGACCGATGTTCCAGCCAACGTTACAGTATATGTTAAAGAAATAACACATGAAGCTCTAATAAATTCGGGATCAATTCGAGTATCAGGTATATCAGACGAAGATTTTATTCGTGTTTGGAATTATAAAACTCTTAGTGTTACAAGAAGCAAACTGGATATTTTCAAGGATAAATTAGCTGATTTACTTAACACTGAGAGGGATAATATTGATGTATTTAGTGTACAGTTGAGAAAGAAACATCCGCCTGTTACTGATATTCGATTTTCAGCACATGGTGCACATTTTTATAAACCTATACGACTAAACGGTATAGTACTCATGCATAGAGAGGAAATTGAAAAATCTGTTGGCATAAATATTACGATGGTTGGCATAGACGAATGCATTTATGAAAATCAAATGTGTGAGGGATCGTGCACAAATGTGCTTGATATTAGTAATTTTCCTTACATGGTCAACGCAAATAAAACTGCTCTTGTTGGTGTTCGTGTTGATGTTATCGCTCAATGTACATGTGGAGCTAGAAACTTCACTCAGGCTGAAACTTGCCGAAATTCGCCTTGCTATAATGGTGGCAGATGTATTGAAGGAAAATATGGATTGACATGCTCATGTCCACCAGGATATACAGGACCAAGGTGTCAACAAACGTCAAGAAGTTTCCGAGGTACAGGCTGGGCTTGGTATCCGGCTTTAGAAATGTGTGATAACTCTCACTTAAGTTTTGAATTTATAACAAGGAAATCAGAAGGCATATTGCTTTATAATGGACCAATAGTGCCGCCGGAACCAGAAGAAATTATGGTATCAGATTTTATATCTGTTGAATTAGACAGAGGTAACCCAAGACTACTCATTGATTTTGGTTCTGGTACACTAGAATTGAGAGTAAAAACCAAAAAATCTTTAGATGACGGTGAATGGCACCACATTGATATTTTCTGGGATACTGAAAATGTCAGAATGGTAGTTGACTTCTGTAAATCTGCTGATATACAAGAGATGGAAGATGGAACACCACCAGAATTTGACGATTCTTCATGTCAAGCTTCGGGGACAATTCCTCCATTTAATGAGTACCTAAATGTAAATGCACCACTGCAAATCGGTGGATTGTACATAGATCATTTTGACCCTACACACTATCATTGGCAGTTTATGCCAATTGGTAAAGGTTTCGATGGATGTATCCGGAATTTAATCCATAATAGTAAATTATACGATCTTGCACATCCCGGATTGTCAAGAAATTCGGTAGCAGGATGTCCTCAAACAGAAGAGATTTGTAACCAAGCTGACGCTACTTCTAGATGTTGGGAACATGGAACTTGTGTTGGCAGTTTCTCCGAAGCCCGTTGCCAATGTCTTCCGGGTTGGACTGGTCCATCATGTAATTTACCTACCACTCCAACAAGTTTTCGACCACAAAGCTATGTTAAGTTTGCATTAAGCTTTGAACCAGACAGATTTAGTACACAAATACAACTACGCTTCAGAACACGGGAACCTCATGGAGAATTATTCAGAGTTAGCGACCAGCACAATAGAGAATATGGTATTCTCGAAGTTAAAGATGCCCGATTACATTTTCGTTATAATCTTAATTCGTTACGCACAGAAGAACGTGATGTTTGGCTTAACTCAGTAGCAGTTGATGACGGACAGTGGCATATAGCTCGTGTCAGCAGATATGGAAGTGCTGCTACTCTTGAAATTGATGGTGGGGAAGGAAGAAGATATAACGAATCATTCACATTTGATGGCCATCAATGGCTATTGGTTGATAAACAAGAAGGGGTTTACGCAGGTGGGAAGGCCGAATATACCGGTGTTCGAACATTTGAGGTCTACGCTGATTTTCAAAAAGGTTGTTTAGATGATATTAGATTAGAAGGAAAGCATTTACCGTTGCCACCAGCGATGAATGGAACACAGTGGGGTCAAGCAACAATGGCTAGGAACTTGGATCGTAATTGTCCATCTAATAGCCCCTGTATCAATGTTCACTGCACAGAACCTTTCGTCTGCGTCGATTTATGGAACGAATATGAATGCACGTAAGTCTTTAAAGTTTTTATATGATGCAAATTATTCTTAAGAGGATATCCGGGCTCCAAAAAAATTAAAAGAATAGGTTCTTTATGATCTATTTTCTGACGCGCTGTGCCCGAATGACCAAACTCCAAGAGTAACGATAACTGCAGCTCCTACTGCTTTACCTATGAAAAATGGATGTCATCATTTCGTATTTCCCTGTTTCTTCCTTCAAAGTTGGACCGTTTTTTTTTGTCAAAGACAATATATGAAGCATTGTGGCTAATAACTGTATGTTTTAAATTTTGATGTTCATTGAGATTGTTTTTTGGACGTCCAATAACAGCAGCGTAACTAGACATAATTAGTAAATTTTAGAAGGTTTTGGGGTTTGAATATAATTTATGGATGAAAACAAAACACTCGTAAGAATCATGACAGTAGTAGATAAAGATTGTAAAGTAATAAAAAAAAATTATCAAATGTTGATATCCAAGGAGAAAACGGGAATACGTTTCTATAAACTAAACGTCGCCCAGATATCCTCGTAAAAACATATTAACTCACAGCCAAAATTTGAAATAGACATTTTTTATATTTGGCTTCACACCATCAACTATTTAATAACCAATAATTATCAGGACTATTAAAAATAATTTTTCATGAATTTACCTGTTTAGTTTTTTTTAATTTTATTAATTGAACGCGCACTGAGTTATTTTATAATATTACATTATTTTAAAATATTATATTTATTTTAAATGTAAGTTTTGGAGGATTGAATGTATGAAGTACTAACAAATAAATTTGGCTTACATTTTTATGTAGCTTTATATACCTAAATATAATATTATTTACTTATTGTAGATACCTTATTTATTACATTAAATCTTTATTGCTTATAATTTGTGTATATATCTTAAAATATTGCGATGGTGTCTAGTTGCGGTGAGGGTTTGGTTTTATCGCCGGATGGAAAGGGTTGCGTAGACAAGAACGAGTGTCTCTACTTCCCGTGCCGCAACGGCGGCTCATGTGTCAACCGCGAACCTGGCTACCGCTGCCACTGTCCCGAGGGTTTCTGGGGCGAAAACTGCGAGCTTGTTCAAGAAGGCCGAACTCTCAAGTTAAGCATGGGAGCGCTGGCTGCAATCCTCGTCTGCCTCCTCATCATAATGAGTGAGCACATAGCGTAGTCACGCTTGCGGCGTGTTCCTACATAATAGATGGCTACCTTTCACCTACTCACACTCGCACTGTTATCATATTATCATCCTATATAGATATTTATGTACATCTCTAGCTGTTGTATTAGTTACTAGTGCATGATTTATATGGGGGGCTCAGTGCGCGGATGACGGGTGAGTTGCGGAGAGGTACAGTGCGCACTGTGTAGGTGTCCGGGCGGCTCGACTCGCGCCGGCGGCACGTGCGTCAACGTAAACGAGTGCGCGGACAGCCCGTGCTTGAACGGAGGCACTTGCGTGGACCGCGAGCCGGCGCGCCGCTACGACTGCATTTGCGCGTTTGGCTACGCGGGACACGATTGCGAGCTAGAGTTGCTCGCATCTGGAATCATCACGCCCTCCAGGGATTTCATAATAGCTATCATTGTCTGTTTGTTTTTGCTTTTAGGTGAGCACCATCACATGACTCATTTGCATGCGTTTTACCTGCGTTTATAATTGTGACATATTTTAATAATTTTGTTATTTTACCAAGGACATTTCGCTAGTATCATTTTTTGCATCATTGTGCATTGTAGATAGAAATATTTTGAATAATCTTTGAACAAATACTTATTAAAGCAAGTTTCATGAGTACATCTATTAATATAGCAATAAAATAAAATAATATATACTTAATCAAATGATTATTAATGGATAATGGAAAATTGTAGTTAATTTGGAGCAATTAAAAATGATATCTTTAAGAAAAATGCATTAAAATTGCAGTATGACATTTTGTTCAAAATCTTATTTACTGAATCATAAAGATTTTTAAAGCTATTCAAAATATTTCTATTATAATAATACTTCAAAATAATATTTATAAGTATATTTTAGGTAAGTTTCTAAAAACTATATGATCAAAAAATGTTCGCTGCTACACAATCGTTCCGTAGGTCTTTATGATTAGTCTGTTTACTTGTCTTGAAAAACTAATACTGTCTTGTTGTGCTTAAAATATTAAGCAATAAGAAAAGGAATTAAAATATTTATAAAATATTTAAATATACCAGAACTTAAGAAAACTTAATAGTGATATGTGAATCATTCTTTAAGAATTCTTTAATAAAACAGAAGTGACAGACGAAGACAGAAACGAACGTACAGCCACCTGATGATAAGCGGCTACTGCAGCCAAATCAGAAACAGACGCTATGCACTTTTCACACTACGTAGATATTTGCTAAGTTTCACCGAATTGGGACAATCAGTTTCAGAGAAGATAGCAATAAAAAATTGTTTCAGAGTCAAGGATAAGAGTGCTACGTTTGCATTTCATTACAGTCCACCCAGTCGTAAGCGACCTTGTTGTAATTGATTGAAAAGGCTACAGATGCGTTGTCATCTGAGGACTAAGTTTTAATGCCTCATAGTCTGTAATTACACTTGTTGTCTACGAGTATACTCTTCCGACCGTGCTACACACACACACTGCAAAGTAATTATTGTTATTTTGCTGACCCAGACGATTACCTTGGCAGAAAAGGTGTCTACCACAACCCACAACCACCAATTAAAAAGAGAAAAATAATTTTCTAATATTTGAAATCAATGACAACTAAAAAAAATAACTACTCATGCTGTTTTACAAAACAAGGTAAAATTATTTATAAATATCTATTTATCTTCGTGTTTCGACTGTCTACCCCCGGGCATAATCCTCTTTAAATTGAGATTTTAGCATAACGAGTAAAGTAGTGAATGTCTTTGATTTTAATACTTGTCAAAAGTTTGATGTCAACAATGATTTTTATTATGGAAACAAAATATTATTGAAAACTTATTAAATTTTCTTAAACGCAATTCTAACTTCAAGTTTGCTTTGAGACATTATTAACACTTTGCATTTACTTAAGTTAAATCTATAGCACTTGAGATATTGTGAAAAACGTTGTATAATTACCACTTAAAATTTTAAAGTCTGTCTTGTAAAAATGTAAAAACCTGCGGTTTCAAATCCGCCTTCCAACCGTGGCAACTATGGCAAGTTTCTTCCTTAAAAGGCAATCTTTCGGAAGGCCTTTACTCAGCAGTGAAATTTCATAAGCTTTAATGAAGAAAGAAGTTTTTAAATCTTAATATAAATCATCTTTGTGGAATATTATACATAAGGTATTATTACGTGTACTCACGTTTCGGTTATAAACAGCAAATATATAATGTAGCAATGGCAGATGTTTCATTTTCCTGTAGAGACGCGAGAAAATAATGCGTCATATATTTTGTTCTCGCAGTTCTTGTATTAGTATTCGTGGTGTACAATCGTCGTCGCGAGGCGCACATCAAGTACCCCGGACCAGATGACGACGTTCGCGAGAATATAATTAATTACGACGACGAAGGCGGCGGCGAAGACGACATGACCGCTTTCGATATCACACCACTTCAGATACCTATTGGAGGGCCTCTTCCCGATCATGCTCCGGCTAAACTACCATGTAAGTATTTATCTATAGAATAAATTGTAGCTCATTAAAGTAATTAGCGGCGTGTTCAGTATACATTTTGAAATGAAATGGAATCTAATGTAAAATATTTTTTTTTTGCATTTTGGCGTGTTAGGTTCGTGAAGATAATATAATAGATATAATATATTAGTAAAGTGAAGTAAAGAAATCAGTCAGTTTCACACGTTGGGAGATTTTTCAGTTATTTAAAGAAATAGAAGATATTATGGATGGATATTGAATAAGTAACCGCTGCTGCGGTTTATTTATTGACATAGTGTGAGTACTGCTTAGGTGTGGGTAGTAACTTGTTTATCAAAAGGCAAACTAAATGCGCAGCAAACGTGTGAACACCATGGCCAACATTACTCCAACGCCCTTTGATCTGTGTTGAAAAACCGATAACACCCAGAGCTATAACTACCTATAACAATAACTACCTAGGTGGACCATAAACTCCCACTGTACATGATGGGCATTAATATTGGCCACAACAATTGGCACATATATTGGGACTTGTGAAGAGAAGCCTTAAAAATTCTCAGCTAGAAAGTACATCACGTGCCGTCCAGCGTGCCAAAATTTCATGTCATGTTATTTTAACAAAAAAATTAATACCCAGGAATAACATTGAAAAAATCTCTTTTCACTTTTATATAGCTCACATATTTCTAAATGTCCAAATAACATGGTATAAAAAACAAAGTTTATCTTCATAAAATTGTCTTGATGATAAAGTAACTTTCGTTCGTAAGGATAAATAGGCCATGCCTAATAATAACGCTTATAAATCACTTTTAAATTTTCAATATTTTTTTGTCACAAATTACCAAATTATGGCTTATGTATAAGAAATAGACATATGGTATCGCGGACTTTTTTTTAGACGGAGTTAAGGTCTATATTTTTCTAGAACATTGTATTTACGTATCCTTAACGATAACACCAGCGTACGCGGATAAATCATTTCGAGAGTGCTTCTTCTTCTGACTTGCTTATCAAATATCCATATTTAAGGCTAGCTGAGTAATATAGCTTAATGCTAGATAGCCTATATGCCTATACACCTATAGCCACATGAATCTGGCTATAATATACAAAAAGAATTTTTCAAATCGGACTGGTAGTTCCAGAGATTAGCGCGTTTAAACAAACAAAAAAACAAAAAAAACTCTTCCGCTTTATTATATTAAGTATAGATAGACCAACATACATCAGAAAACATAATTTATTTGATAAAATTTACGTGACTATAAAAATCATTATAAACTTAAAGTCAAAAATGCGAAGACAAATTCGTTTAGTTGTTCAAGTCTCTTTTTATGTCACCAGGCGAAAACTTTAAACCCTTGTAAGTATCATAATAATATGTCAGTCCGTCGCACCCTAGCTTACCTGCGTTCTTATCGCAGAAGCGTTACACGGGCACGGATAATTTAAGACAAATTTAGGAATAATACAATATTTTTGATAACTTCCAATAGCTTAAATAAGTAACATAATGACCCGCGATACTGTACCACAAAATCGCATCCCTCATCTAAATCATCATTAGAAGTCTTCATAAGCCTCCATGCTGAACATAGGGCTCTTCCAAGGAATTCCGCAAAGCACGGTCATAACTTACTCCATCTAGGGGAAGAAAGGTTCTCTCAGGTTCTCGATTGGCAGAAGACTAGAGCGGACCCTAGAGACTTTTTTTACATGGGGAAATGCCTACGCATACCCGCCTCGCGGGGGCAAGGACGGGTTGTTATACCGGACTTGCACCGACTAAAACCCTATGGTGTTCCACCTTTGCCGCATATTGGCAGGTCAACGGGAACGCTTTCGCACATATCCGCGGCCCCACAAGCGCTGGCCGCCCAATAGCAGCACCTTCTCGGGGGAGGACCTCTCCTCCCCATTCTCGTTCTCAGGCAAGGCGCACCAGGAACACAAGGCACGGCCCTGCCTTGTGTTCCTGGTGCGCCTGCGTATCGAACCTGCGTATCTTGTGTATCTGCGTATGAAGACCCCCCCCCCCCCCCCCCGAGTCCGATACGCGGAGGCCATGGGGCCAGGAAAATCGAGCAACTTAGTAGCACCCGCTTTCCCGACCCCAGCGACGGTTCTGGTCTCTGGCGACACTGCCAACTACGTTTTGGCCGCGGAGGGTAGGGAGAGCGGCGCTTCACTATACCGACACTCCTCTCACTCCGCGGCCCCACCACCACCGCATCAACGGTGCGGCCCCGTCAGAGTCGCGGAGGATAGGGCGAGTGGCGCATTCCATACCAACACTCCTCTTCCTCTGCGACTCCACCTCGGCTGCAGCGGTAGGGGGAGAGGACATCCCTCTCACCACAGCCCACCGACACACATCCGAAGTGGACTCGTCAAGCCCACTCGGAGTGGCCACCTCGGGCTGGCCCTACACCACGGGCCGGCTAAGGGGTTCCTCTTTGTTCACCGCGGGTAACCCATGGCTACTAAGCCGCCCCGCCACGACAAGGCTGGCACCCGTTCGGGGGGGGGGGGGACTCTAGAGACTAGATGGAGATGGAGAATAACACGTCCGATTTTACGAACAATTTATTTGTTTGTTGTGTAAGCAGTAGCTAAGTATTTTTTTATTTCATTTGCAAGTTAATAAAATTTATTATAAAGCAATCATTTATAATAAGTTTTATAATATTATAACTAAGAAAGTTCCTTAAAAGTTATACATATAAATAATGTTGTTCCTATGTTAGCTAGTTCCATTATTTCATAATTATGTTTACCTCGAAATACAGACGTCTTAGGTAATGAAAATAAACATGATTCAATTGATTAGGCTTATGCAAAGCTCCATATAGAGATATTGTCTACATTTGTAAACACATTTTCGAATAAACAATTATGCTACAATATTACTACTTATAACTGTATATCAATACAGTTATATTTAATAAAAGTAATCCTTATTTACCTGTTTAGCTAAAAATTTATATTGAAATCAAATAATAACATTTGAATTTTCTAATTAAATTATGAAACTTATATTAAACCGGATACACTTGAGAATATCGCATACAAACATCTCAATTCCGTTAACGTATAACCTAACCTAAGAGTAGCACTTCTTAATAAAAATGTAAATTCGTTAAATGATTTTGTTATTGAAATTGAATTTATGTTATTTCTATTTTAGCATAAAGCTTTAAATTCAACATTTTGAATTCGCTCTCTGATGTGGTAACGAAATCCGCTTCTACCTTTCCTCGAGCAGGCTATGACAAATCCAGTTGATGTAAATTAAAACACAATTATATGTTGGGCGAAACTGACATACTAATATATACTTATGCATTTTCTAAATCTTAATCGCCTGCTCAGTAAGGAAGGCTAGAACGTAAAATATTATTACCTTCCAGTTTGCTAAAATTTATGGCAACATAACAACATATTCTACAATATGAGGAGAGAATACAACATATTCTAAAATATGAAGAGAATTATAATGTTGCTTTTACATTTCTCATATTACTTTATTAAAAAAAAAAAAAACTAAATTCATATCTTGTATGTTTTCTACATTACATTATTTTTATTATCGCATAAAGTCATGTTATTTATAATAAGCCGAGAAAAGACGCAAGATTTGCAACTTATTTTTAAAGCTAATAATCATTTATTACTGAGCTACTAAATAGAGGACTTACTTAGAGAACAGTAGTTGTCCTAATAACTAAAATCAACAACTTTGTTAAAAAAAATAACTAACTTTATTGTCGTTCTTCGGTAGATCCTCTGATGGGTGTCGGGCTCGGAGTGGGACCAATGGGTGTTGCTATCGGTGTTCCACCTGGTGTAGGAATGCCATTACCCGGCGAAACAAACGTGGGCATGTTTATAGAAGAGCATAAGCGGCGGGCCGATAGCGATCCTAATGCACCACCATTCGACGATCTGCGCAACTACGCTTACGAAGGCGGCGGCAGCACTGCGGGCTCCTTGTCGTCTTTAGCTTCCGGTAAAATATATTTTATAAATGTATTCCAGTATTTTTTTGTCATTAGTCTTTAACATAACTTATACTGATTAAGCAGATGAGATATTAAAAAAAAATTATATTAAGTACAAGAAGTCTCCTTTAGTAATAATTTTCAGCCTGACACAAACGACAAGTTACTTGTTAAGTCAAAGATAGTGCACTAACCTTAAATATCACAATATTATATTCATACATTCTTGGTGGTGAAGGTAAGGAAGGTCCTTACAGGTTTCACTCTTTTAAATATTTTCTCCGCCAAGCACTAGTGCAATTACTTTTATTGTCTGGCTGAAAGGATAAAAGAGCTTTTCATTTTAGGCCTCAGAAGTGATAACGTATCTGTATAACGTATCACTCTAATACGAGATAGTTCAGAGTTGAATGGTAAACAGGGTTGACTGTAGAATATGTCATAAGTTATTAAGTCAAGGCAAGAAAGGCAGTTGAGGAAATATAAAACTCCTTTATTTGACAGGGAAACAAAGTCATGGCTTGATTTGAATTCAATTTATTTGAAGGTTGTATGAATAAGCCTGAAAGTTTGCAGCTAATAAGTAACTTAGTACTTAAATAAAAGTAGGTCGGAATAAGCCTTAAAGTTTTACCCTAACAAGCTACCTAACGAACTGGCAAATAGAGTTTATGTTTTTTTTAAAGAAATTTTAATTATTTTCGAAACATGCACATTTATACAAACATTGCTTTTTTAATAGGTACCGACGATGAAACACACGAATATGACTATTTGGGCGCTTGGGGTCCACGATTTGACAAATTGGCCGATCTGTACGGACCTGATCTCGACGAACAGCTGTAGGCGAAATGATACGACACAATATCGCTTATTACACGGCACGAATTTAGTCAATTGTCTCCTAATCTACTACTACTCACTAAGACATCTTAAGCCGCTTAAAAGACGCTCTTAAAATCTACGTTGTTTACTTTACGAACCAATTTCGTTTACTTCCAATATGCAGAGACACCATGCCGTGACTTATTACTCTCATCCATTTTGTACTTTATTTTTATATTGTAATTATCTTAAGTCTAAGCATCTAATAGTTTAACTTATTTAAACTGCGACATTTTATAAAGTTAAAAACGTATTACTCACCAAAAATTTGAAATAAGTTTTATTCGACTTAGCCATATTATGAGTCAGTATTTTATTCGAAGTTATCAATAAGCGGATTTCTGCTGGAGGGCCAGACGTGAATCTGAATCGTGGGTGTTTGTAGATAGTGTGCTATAAATGTGAATAATTTATACGAGTATTTTGTAAGTCCACAGCTTTACGTGATATCACTTTAATGTACGGCCCTTCCGCATTATATCGATTGGAAACTACTTTAGAAAAAATATGTTATATTTTATATTAATAACAATAATAACATAAGATGAAACGGTCCGTTAGGACATCGAGTTTATAATGCTCAGCTAGGGGATGTATATAGGATTTATTGAAACCACCACCCCTATTTACTTAGCTAAATGTCAAATCAAAATTTCAATGTAAGTGAACTGTACAGTAACTGGTGTTCCTCTCCAAATGTCTCCGTGTAGTGTTAGTTCATAATTGTAGTATCTGGAAACGACTACGGTCTACTCTTAAATGTAGGTGACTAAATTAATCATTGATTGTGAAGGGTTATAAGTTGGCATTTATCACCACCATCTTGTTAAACTGAATGAGAGCACGAACGCACGACTGAACGATATTTTCGTGATGAATATCGAAAGAGGAGTGAATGTATTTGGGTGCTTTGAAGAATGGGTGCGCAGTCGCTTCGAACGACGGCGACGCGTGTTTTGAATGGGACTGTGCCAATTTTTAGCGTTATCGATGCAGCTGATGACCGTAGGGTTAAGTGTTTGCACTTTATTTATTCGTATATTTACATATAAATTTAGTGGCACCTAGAAAAATATCAATAACTTACTAAGAGTGTTGTGCTAGATTATTATTCCATCGATTTTGACGTGAGATAGTTGTTAAAACCATTAGAAAGTCACTAATTTAAAAACTTATTTTTAAGAATTTATAGTAAAATAATTAAATTAATTAAAGGTTTGTATAAACTGTCTCACTTCGACATCGAACTAGGATTTGTGGAAATTTTAGAATATAATTAATTATGTTAAAATGACTGATTTTTTATTATGCGTTTGAAAGCCTAAGATTTTTGTAGATTCGGTTGTTTAATTATAAAACTTGAATACCTTACTGTTAGAACATCCACTAGTTTGCACTCAAGACGAATACTCGAGTTATCAATAATAAAGCAATTCTCGTTAATTACTATTTGTGTAAGTAGACATGTAGTTAGGACCCAAATAACCATAAATGGATTTTTACTTTTTAGGATTCTTTTTTTAATGTCATCATCATTACACTGCCAGTAATTACACATATTATAGACAAATTATGATAGAGTTTGTCCGTTTTTATATTTCAGTCTTATACAATAATATTTTATAAGTTTTTGAACTGTTTATTATATAATCTGTACTTCCACCCCGTTACAAAGTTTTCTACGTAATTTCGTATGAAAACTTTTTTTTACTTTAGCTCTGCGATGTCTTTCAATGTGTACGTTCAGTATCGATTATATATAGGTATTTATCAAGCATAAACTGCTTTACGTTTACATTGAGTAATTGTAAAAATATTTCGAGCAAACACAGACTGTATTTGGATTATATATACCTACTCGTATACCTGTTCAGTGATATATGTAAGCACGCCCTAGGTACGTGTGTGTTTTTTCTTAAAACTCAAATCTTGTAACATTTGCACTATGTAATAAACAAAATAATATTAAATGTATCATGGACACTATAAATAAGACAGCAGAGCACACAATCCCAGTACAAAGAAGAAGAAACTCGGCACCGCGTAGTCGCGGAAGCACCTAATTTTATTTTAGATATTAATTATAATATAAACCTACATAGTTTTGTTTTGTTTCAACTGTGATTATTAAGTTATACAACTCTGACAATTACATAAAAGGAATAATAAAATGTGAATAAAAAAAAACAATGTTTTATTTCGGTAATGTCCTTCCACGTTACGTATAATGTTAATATTTAATATTGTACCTTCAATAGGTATTCAAACAGACGTGGTTTCAACTAACTTGTAAGTTTACGTTAACTCATTAATGATATAGTATGTTCACAACTATCAAGTCTTGGAATATTAATCTTTGAGATTGCCCTCGCCGTATGTAGTAGAGCATGGATTTTAAATAAACAAGTTAATGAATTCGAAACTATTATTCTTGTTTCCCTAATCGTCTGTATTTTATATTTATGCAAGTAACATACATACATACATATAATCACGCCTCTTTCCCGTAGGGGTAGGCAGAGGCCACTTCTTTCCACTTGCTACGATCCTTACATACTTGTTTTGCTTCGTCCACTGCAAGTCAGCATGAAGTAATTAATGCTGTGGCCCACCAATTTCATCCATCTATCTTATTTTTATAGGATAGGGATAGGGTGACAAACGAGCACGTAGTCCACCTAATGGTAAGTGGTTGCTGTGACCTATAGACATCCACATCTATCCTCAATAAAGAATCATAATGCAGATGCGTTTTCACCCGTGAGAACTAAGATGGAATGCCTCTTTTCCAGTAAAAAGGGTATCCGGTTCTCTACACTCACCATTCGAAACAGCAGTGTTAAGCTGCTATTTTACGCTGGTATTCTGTGAGAGCGTGGTCCTTCCCCGGTCGGGCCGACCCATCGTGCTACAAATATAGCTGCAGCATGGCACGTTTAGATCATCTTCAGTAAGGAATTAAAATACGTTGTCACACCTTTGGACTTAGATAGAACTTCTTCTTCTTCTTAGATTAAACATCTGCGGTTCTCTGCATTCAATATGAAACACAGTAGCATCGCTATTTATTTTTAAACAGTATTTTCGCTAATATTTTGATTATATTTTTGACAAAATCCTAGTTTAGTTAGTTTTATTTAATACTTTCTTAAAATTGACATAATATAGGAACTTTTAATTAGAAGATTTTAAAATATTATATAGCAATACAAACTCTGTGAGCATTTGAAGCGTCTACTTGTTGGCATTATTAAGATCGAATAAAAAACAAAAAAAAAACACCTTGTTAAAGAGCCCCCTGTAAATCTTAATTTATTTTCATTTTTATTATTTCTTGTTATAGCGGCAACAGAAATACTGACACATTCTGTGAAAGTTTCAACTGTCTACCTAATACGGATCATAAGATACAGACCGCTGACAGACAGACGGACGGCCGGATAGCAGAGACTTTGTAGTAGGGTCCATTGGTTACCATTCCGGTACGGAACCCTAAAAATATCTTTTTATTTCCAAATTGTAAATAAGAATTTTTAAATTCACATCTGTATTTGGGTAGTCGTATTTTGTAACTGATAAAGGGTTTCGCAGGTTTCTTTCTCCGTAATACTAAAGATTTTAAAAATACCTGTATAATAAGTTTAGAAATAAGTTTAGTTGTGTATTATAGCATATAGTATAGTATATAGTAGCATTGATGACAGTGCTAATTTAATATATAATAATCAATCATCTTTGAAATTAATAACACAAAATATAAGAAGCTTAAAACGTAATATACCACACTTCCAAACTCTTCTGGAACGTGCCAAAGTTGATTGGGACCTAATTATATTTACAGAATGTTGGTTGCAAAACATTGCTTATATTCCCATACTACACGGATATAATTATGCTGCTTCTACAAATAATAAAACACAAAATGAGGAAGTTGTAATTTATTATAAGTCAAATAATAATTATAATATCTCCGAAATTAACCTAACAGATGCTAATTGTTTGCTTATAAAATTAAATGCTAATTCTGTCGTCCTTGCAATATATCGCCCTCCAAGTGTAAAGAATACAAACCCTTTCTTTGAATCTTTAAATTCCGTACTTATTGGCTTAGCACAATATAAAAATATAATACTGACAGGAGATATAAACATTGATATATCATCCTCATCAAAAGACTCTAGAGCCCATATTTATCTTGATCTATTAGCCTCTCATGGTATGCTACCAGGTTTTAATATCCCAACACATACCCATACCTGTTTGGATCACATAATTTTGAAATCAAAATTACCCGCACGTTGTCATGTTGCTCACACTACCATCACAGATCATTATAGCATAATCCTTAGCCTAAATTGGACATATAAAAATATTTTTCATTACAAAACAATTAATCAAATTGACTACCAGGCCTTAGATTTAACTTTTAATGAATTAGATTTTAAAGCTGTATACTTAATGCCAAATGTAAATGATGCAGTTACGTTTTTAATCAATACTCTTAATCTAGCTATTGACAAATGTACCAAAAACATAACGGTCTCGAGACGTAAACGAACTATAAAACCTTGGATAACTCGTGGCTTGCTAAAATGCATGAAAAATAGGGACAATTTACATATTAAATCAAGAACACATCCTAATGATACAATTCTTCAAATAACCTACACTAGATATAGAAATTTTTGTAATAACATACTAAAGAAAGTTAAACAAGAATATGAAAAGGCGGAAATTTGTAAAGCTAAATCTAATAGCAAAAAACTGTGGGAAATAATAAAGAACATAACTCACACGACTAAAATCAAAGCTCCAGCTACAGAACTTCTCTGTAATGATCCTAGGAGGTCGGTTAATGATATAAATGAATATTATGTGAACATAGGAAAGAATATAGCTGAGTCTATTAAGAACTGCTCGACAGACTTATCCTTGGGCATACCAGACATATCACCTAGTCA